TTAAGGTATTATTATTGTTTTAGGTTCCGAATGGAGACGTGCAGGACGGGGCATAAAGGACGGATTTGTGTAAATTTTAGAGGAAAATGTTTCAAGTTTGGAGATAAATGAAATAACTCAACAAAAGGCTCCTAAACTGCAAAAATGATTCATATGAAGGAACATATAGATTCAGATTACAAACCACAATTAGCAGAGTATAATCTTAACTTATGAGTAAATGATCAGACAAGGGACAAGAAGGTGCAGTCACCAGGCGAGGATAAAAGATTCGAGCAGGCGAAAACCAAACCATGTGATAGTGAATTAGTGATCAAACCATCCTTCAAGCAGCCAAGCCATGATCCAGATCTTACAACACATTTGGTAGCTTCTCTCTCTCTCTTGAAATCAAGAGATTAAGACCGTAAAAATCAAATCAGAATCCTGTCATTTGATAATCTGCGGTCTGTTGCCACGAGTTTTCGATCTGGTTTTGTGGACTTTGGGAGGTGTATCAACCGTTAAAGCATACATTTTTACAGCGAATAACTCCTGCGGAAGACCCTTCTGATCCTGGAAAATGGTTTTGGAAAAGACTGTAAAGTTCTAAACCAACAGTTCCTAGAAACGGTTTTAAGATAAAGAAAAACAGACAAGAAATCGACCTTTGTTAAATAGAGATGTAACCCACATCGACGAAAGAGCTGTTTGAAGTACGGATCCGATCTGGTGATGCTATGGTCCTCTTTATCCAAAACAAATCCTGCGCAAAAGAAAAAATACATGCAGTTTTGTGTCAAAGAGGATGTTTTCATAAGAATGACAAAGTGCGGGTCGAAGGGAGAGAGCGAAAGAGACCTTTTTTAGCGAGATTCTCTTTCACGACAAAAAACCCACCGGGTTTAAGACATCCCTGATATCAACGAAGTACACATGAGAGATGAGACTAAGCAGCAAAAACACAGTGCAGGAACTACGGTTTTACTTGACTTGTATTAGAGAAACCTAACATTGTGCAATGAAGTAGAAGAAACAAAGTCTTTACCTTTGCTCGGTTGAAGAAAGAAACAAAATCATCGTCTGTGAGATGCCCAATGCACCATTGAACCCATATGACATCATACCTTCCAGCAGCTGGAGTAAACTCCTATGATTATGTAACATTCACAAAGCAAAGGTGAAAGAGAATCGAAAACAAAGATAAGATAAAGAAAAGAGATACTTCTAGAACGGATACCTGAAGAGGGACACAGAAAAAGTTAGTAGCTTTGTGCGTTTCTGATCCCGTAGAAGCCAAATTTTCCCGTGCTGCATCCAAAAACTGCCCTACAGGCTCAAGAAGATCAACCTAAAGATCCAAAAAGAAAAAAAATGTTATCAACCGATGACATAAACCAGAGAAGAACAAACCTTATATTAGAGGATTAAAAGAAACTTTACCTCGTTAAAGTATCGTATCAGAAGATTCTTGGTGATTCTTCCAATACCAGATCCACAATCTGCAAATGATTCATGTGTATTTGCAATAATAACATAAACAACAAAACATCCACAGATAAAATTAGAGAAAACAAATGAGAAGAGAGTTTACCAAGAGCCACTAGATGTTGATTTGTTCCTCCATTTACTAATCTTTCTTGCATAAGAGTCTTAAGAAAAACCTCACTTCCTATTATATCAGCATCATTCACATGACCATATCCTCCTAATACTCCATCAACAGATGCTTCAACACCCTTAATTAAGAACATAAAACACACTGATAAATCAAAATTGATCCAATTTGGAATCAATTTGCCAACTTTAGAAAGTAAACTAAACATAATATACTAGGGTTTACATATTTCCTTGGAATATAAGCCAATCAAATCTGAGAAACTTTAAAGAGAACCAAACAAAGTGAACCCATAAAAAAAGTTTAAACTTTTCTAAGAGAAACAATCAGAAAAAACTTACTTCCCAATAAGAAACTCCATCTCTATACCATTGGGTTTTCTTAGTTTCATCTCCTTCTTCTCCAATTTCTTCTCTCCACATCTCTTGTGCACTACTAAACTCTTTCCCTTCTGAATCAACGCCACAAACCTCCATTGAATCAAACGATTGAGCTAAAACGGTTCTCCTCTCTCTCCTCCGACGATACAGAAGCGGTGGCGAAGTCGTCGGCGGCGAGATTTGGTTTTGGGGGATGAAGTGTAAGTGTTGTCGTCCAGTGAAGACTAATGGGCTACAAATTGAATAAGACATTTTTTTTTTGTTATTGGGCTTTGTAGGGTTTCGTGGCTTTTTAAGTTAAAGCCGGGTCTTGGATTATCCATAATTTGACCCGATTCGTTATGTATCTCTTACGGGTCAAAGTCAAAAGTAAGTTTAGTTTTTAATCAAAGTACTGTAAGAGCATCCACATTGGTAATAAAATATGGGTGTCTTTAAATATAAAATTATTAAAATTTGAGTAAAAGGAAAAAAGAGTGTTTTTTGTTGAAATAGTGTGGTGTATTGAAATATAAAATTAATAAAATTTGAGTAAAGAGAAGAGATAGTGGGTATTTTTGGAGAGATTGTGTCCTGGAGAAAACATAAAAGAGAGAGAATTGGGGTGTGTTTAAATATAAAATTAATAAAAGTTGAGTAAAAAGATGAAAGAGAAGGTATAAAGTTGAGTAAAAAGATGAATGAGAAGGTATAAAGTTGAGTAAAAGGAAAAAAGAGTGTGTTTTTAAAATTTTTATGTTATGAAACATTGGTAAAATGTCTCCAACGTGGATGGCCAAGTTCTGTAACATGTCTTTGTCTGTAGTGTATTAGAAAACAAAAGAGACCGACCAATGAGAGGAACGTTATTAACGTGAAATATTTAATTTGATCAAACTAACCACATTATTGTAGTTTTTGACTTTTTTTCTTAGTTAACAAAATGTCTCTTTATGACGTAAAAAACACAATCAATTGTAATATGTAAATTAAAAAATATCTACAGAACCAATAATTTTTTTCGAAAAATACCACATGCCAATTTTCAAAAATATCTTTCTTTTAAATTTTTTGTTTGAAAAGTCACTAATAACCCAGCCATAGATTTTAGCGTCATAATTTATACATTTCGGGTTAGATCGTCAGTCATCGTCAAGGCTGCCAAAAATGGAATCTTTCCCTTAATTTATTGACATTGTCGAAACCATACCAAAGTTTAGTTTAACATACTTATTAGGGATCAACATTTTAATTTGTTAAAGTGATCAACATAAATATTTGTAGTTACATTTGTAAGTTTAATTTTTGATAAAAGTTCTCAGTTTAAAAAAAAAAAAAAATCGATCATTAACCAATATTTTCTCTATAATTTTACTTTTGAATATTTTAAACTCACCAAATTCAAGATATGATGTAAATAAATTTGCTGGTGATAAATTTTATAATCATTTTCTTTAAACTAGCATTAGACTTTTTGTCTCCGCCTCGTAATTCTAAAAGTCTTCAAGTTATAACTTCTAAGTAACACGCTAATCACAAGTGAGTGATTCTATTAACAGAGACAAGTAAGAAGAAAAAGAGAGTAACAATGGAGAATACTAACGAGAAGAAGAAACTCTCAAGACAATCTTCTTCTTTCAAACTACAAAGTCCGAGTCTAAACGCAATCCGTCTCCATCGAATCTTCGACTTATTCGACAAAAACAACGACGGATTCATCACCGTCGATGAACTGAGTCAAGCTCTTTCACGACTCGGTCTCGAAGTCGATTCCACCGAGCTCAAATCAACCGTCGAATCTTTCATCAAACCGGAACAAACCGGACTAGGGTTCGAAGATTTCGCAGCACTCCACAAAACTCTAGACGAATCTTACTTCGAAAACGGAGACCGCGAGTACGACGCTGACGACGGAGAATCATCACCGGAATCAGATCTTGAAGAAGCTTTCAAAGTGTTTGACGAAGACGGTGATGGGTTTATCTCCGCCGTGGAATTACAAAACGTTTTGAACAAGTTAGGGCTTCCTCAAGGTGGAGATTTCGAACAAGTGAAGAAGATGATTGTCTCTGTTGATACTAATCACGATGGTCGCGTTGACTTTCTCGAGTTCAAAAACATGATGCAAACTCTTCTCGTTCCTTCCTCTTCCTCTTGAATCTTCTACAAAGATTGAATTTTTCTTTCAATGCAATTTCAAATATGGTTCTTGTGTAATGTTTGTTATCTCCAATCCAATGGACCCAACTCTTGGTTTTAAATTGGCAACAACATAAACTTCCTTTTCAGTTCCATTACTTTCACCAACCTTAAGGAGCCTAGGCTGCAAAACATAAAAAGCCGCAGGGCAAAAGCTCGGTTTGAGTATTCTGATCTATGCTTCTCCATGCAATGCTTCATGGCTGATGAATCCACCCCATCCATAAGCGAATATGAAGGTATAGATGAGAGAGGATGATGGGTTAAGCTGATCTTTCAATGCCCAGAGTCGATGACAAAATATCTGCACCGTTAAAAATGTTCCCATTCGCATCCTGGTGATATAACTATAAGCGAATCCAGTGATATACCGGCGAAACTTTGAGCCCTGACTAAATATGAGAAGTCAGAACCTTTAAAAAGGTTTGCCAATGCAGAAGACAGAAGCTATCCTCTGAACGTCAAGTTAGTCATATGAGCATCAGAACTTTAGTTTTCGAGTAACCTGGAGCTCTTGACTTTTTCTTTCGCCTCAAAACCGAAGAACCTAATCCCTGAAAGAACCAAAATCTGCTGTCTTCTTTTTAATGTGCTCGATTAACATTTTGTCATAGACCACCAAATTAGCCTCTGTTAAATATTTGAGATCTTTCAGCTCTGCAAAGACCTGCTTTGCTGCTTTTATTGATCCATGCTTAGACATACCAAAGATAATAGCACAGTATATAACTTCGCTAGGAGACAAACTTTCCAGTTTCATTTCATCTAATACCTCTATAACCTTCTTGACATTAGATTCTTTGCACGCATGAATAACTCTAAGAGCATACTTAAACTCCATAGGACCACTTTCAACGTTTCTCAGACATTCACGAACTAGCATCATTGCAGCGTCAGTTTCCCCAGTTTGGCAAAGTCCTCGAGCAAGAGACAAATAAGCGGATACTGAAGGAACACAGGACATCTCAATAACTTTGTTATGACATGAACAAGCCTCTTGGATTTCCCCTTTCTCAACAAAACAGCAAATGGCAATACTATATGATGACGAGTCAGGTTCAAACCCGTAATCTTTCATTTCAGAGAACAGAGACAATGACTTCTGAATCTCTCCTATCTTGTGCAGAACATCCATGAGAATATTGTATACAGAAACACTGCCTTGATCTTTTGTCTTAAGTACATCAAACATATCTAATGCCACTGGTATTCTTTCTTCTTCTGCACACAAATATCTGAAAAACTGAGAAAGGTAATCTTCAACGTGATATCCGTATTCTACGATTTGGTCTAGCAAATTGCAAAAATCATCCAGTCTTCTCGTCACTACATAACCAACCATTATTGGATTCAAGGTCTCAAAATCTGGTTCTAGTTCTTCCTTAATTGCAACTTGGAAGAGCTTATAGGCTTTATCAACCTGCTTATCATTACATAAGCCTCTAATAACTGCATTATATATCCCTAGATCAGCAATGTACCCAGAATTCACTAAATCCTTCCATAGATCGCAAGCATACATGACCTTCCCATCCGCAACAAACCTTTCAATCAAAACCCTGTAAATCTCTCTATCAATCAAAACCTTCTTGCTCTTCATCTCCTTAAACAATTCATAGCCTCTTTCGACCCTGCCCTCTTTACACAAACCCATAGCTAGTGTACCATACGCCACTACATCCGGTTCTATCCTATCCCATTTCATTTCATCCCAAACTCGTAAACCAGCATCTATATCACCCTCGGAAACCAACATCCTGATCATTGCTGTGTAAGCAAAAACATCAGGTTTACACAAATTATCTCTCATTCTCTGCAAAATCTCAAGCATTTCTTCCATTCTACCTGCTTTGCACAATCCCTTCATCAAAATCATAAAGGTAATACTTTCCTCCACCAAACCATCTTGCCTAAAATCATCATAAACAGTCAAAGCTAAATCAAAGTTCTCAGTTTTCATCAATGCATCCATTATCCTATTATACAAGAAGACCCTAGGCTTGACTCCACACTTCTTCATCTTCTCATAAACATAATAAACCCTTAAACCTCTCTTCTTATCTGAATGCATTCTAATTAATATTTCGAATTGTTTCTCTGACGGAACCCTTCCCTGAGATTTCATCAGCTCAGGCAATTGATCCGCCGCACGAAAATGTCCGGTCCGATTTAGGCAATAAGCAAAAGCATTGTAAGCAGAGAAATCGTGTCTATATCCCTTTTGCTTACCTACCCAGTGGAAGAATTTCGCAGCAATCTTAGCGTCATTCTCTAACTTCAACACTTCGGAGACGATACTCGGCGTAATCCGACGGAGTTTGTTTAGCTCCAACACGACGGAAGGTCCCCAACGGTCTTTGTTCTTGCGAAATGCGTCGAGGATGAACCGTACGATCGGAGAGAGACGGTCGGAGGAAGCGGAAGTAGTCGAAGAAGGAGATGAAGAATCTGGGCTCCATTTGCGGAGATCAAATGACTTTCGATCGGTAACGGAGGCGTTGGATGGACGACGAGTTATGGATTCACGGTTGGAGAAGAGACCATCGTAGACGACGGAGCGATTCTGCGGCGGTTTGCGAGATCTCCCGGAGAGATTCGGAGGTTTCATGACAGATTAAAACGAAAGCTCACTTCACTACTTCGATCAACTTTCTCTTAACAAATGGGCTTATTTAGGCCCATTAGTCTACCAAAGACAAAATATAGTTAGCAAGTTAATTTAGGTTTACTCATACAATTAATCCCACACTGGAAACTTTTAGTGACTTGATTAAAAGATTATAAGAAGGATTAGTCATACCCATACCACAAGTTTTTCAAATAATCCCAAAATATATTCTCATTTTCATACAAGTAGTTTGTGAATTTTGATACTTTATTTCTCATGGAACAAAGTAGGGATGTTAAAATGAGTCCAAACATGTGTGGTTAGCCATATCCCTATGTTAAAAATTTAAGCCCTAACCCTA